GTTGCATAAGTGACTTTAATGTTGAATAGGGGTCATGTATGATGTAATTTAGTTGAAGCACTAATGAAGTGGAGCCTAAACTTACTTTGACTACTAATGGAGTGGTGGGTAAAGTGGCTGAAATGTAAGTCCTGCAAATAAGTATCTTTGAATCATGTATTGGGGATTTATTATAACCTAAATTCCTTGCACCCAAACTATTTGTAGTTCTTGCTTGACATTAAGTCAATGAGGACTTCTCAACTCCTTATCCTCACATCAACTATTATATATGAGCTTTGGATTGATAGAAAGAGTAATTTATATAATATTTTTAATATCAAATCTAGAGTTATATTTTGAAATACAATGTAGTAAACAATTTGAATATGTAACTGCAAGGAATTTGTTTGAAGTCTTCATTTTGACCAAGAAGAAGTAATTAAAATCTTTTATAATATAAAGCTATAATTACTAGCAATGTATGAAACAAATTTGTAACATAAATAAATATATTATTATTTCATCCGAGATTTTATAGTAAATTATAACACTAAAATATTATGACACAGATGAACTACTAACCGATATTCTCATTAAAACACTTTCATTTGAAAAGTATATATATATTTTAGATGTAGCTTGGTGCATATGATTATGAATCAAGTGGAAGTATTAAAAATGATTTATAATTAACTTTAGTGTTAATGACTCTAATTTCTCTCCTTGCATGGTTAAATAGTGGTCATGTGCTATACTCATGTTCTAGTTAGTTAAAGTACCACTAGGCTTAACAACTCTAATTATAGTAGTGATTCATAATACTAACATAGTTGTGCCTAAAATTATTATTATTATTATTACCACTAATGAAGCAGTGGGCAAAGGTAGTTGAGATATAACTCCTACAAATAGGGTCATGAATACAAATTGGGATTTATCCAAGTTAATTTCCACTTGCATCAATGCTATTTTCATGTTTTTGTTTGTTAGCAATCTCTTTCAACTACACTTGGCAGTATTCTATCTTATTTTAAGTTACTTTCCTTTTGCATTAATGTTGCTTTGGTATTTTTTGTTTTGGAAGGAATATTGTTTTGTTACTGTTCTAAATTACTTGGAGTAGTGGGTATACACTTGAGATGTAAGTCTTATAAATATAATATGTTTAGATAATATAAGTAACATTCTATCTAATTAGTTATCCTTATTATTTTGATTCCTATATTTTTTTAAAATTATATTGAGATCCCTATACTTATGAAAATAAAATATTTAATATCATTTCTTCTCACGATTTTTACTGACGAATAATCAGTGATAAATTAAAGTAAAACAGAATTAGTATATATATAGGGATAAACCTAATGATATTTTTGTCAATAAAATTGATGAGAAACGGGATTAAATGTTTCACTTTTATAAATATAAAGATACCAATATAATCTTAGAAAGTATAAAGATCATGATATTAAAGATAGCTAATTACATATGATAATATTATAATTAGCCCTTAGATAATAAACCATATATTATTAATTTGTTCTAAGTTAATGTATCCAAAGCGATTAAAGGTTCTATCACTCTCTAATTAGAATACTAGTCATACTAATCACGTGCATCTCGAGATGTGCTATAAATGTGGAACAATAAAAAAGAGAAGCAATCATAAAAAAGAAAAGGAAAAGTGAGTGAAACCACAAACTTTAGTTCCAAAGAAATAGAACAAACTTTAAAAATAGAACTATTATAAGATAAAACTATTTATTCAATAATTAAGATTTATCATTATAAACGCTTCATATATCTTAAGACTTTGGTAAGAGAAATATAAAAAAACACACACTTTGAGCAATATGTATATTTTTATTTCTTTTTCCTTAGATTTTGAAAGTCGTGGATCCCTCCAAACATATACTACTCTTCTTCCTTCCTAAGGACCCAACTTATCTTGAATCCTGTTGGCATGACAAGGACTCATTCAAAACTGAGATCTGACTTGGCGAAAAGAGAGAGAAAGATCTTTGGACAAAAGTTTGCTGTGGATATGGCCTATATGTGCTGTTCTCGGACCCATCTTGCATTGGTTACACATAAGGAATGACACCATTCCTTGCTCCGTGGAAGCTTATTTGAACATTTCTGAGTCCTTGTTCTTCTTCCCATGTCTTCTGTATAAACTAGAACAATTCCTGGATCCATCGAAAAGCATAGAAAGTACTCCCTGGATGCTCGAAGAACAGAGAATCACTGCAAGCTATATTGATCTGAAGAAGATAAGGCCCTTTTGGCCTCACTTTCGCTCTGTCTCCGAGAAACAGGGGAAGTGCTTATTACACTCAATTTTGTAAAAAAAAAGGTTGTGTAACCGTTATTATTAAATATCTAATTTAATAATAATATAACTGTTCTCATTATGATTCATAATTTATTATCATGAATTTCTTCATTTATTATGATTTAAATGATTTTAATTTTTTATTCTTTATGTAAGAAACCGTTATTATTAAATTAAATATTTAATATCATTAAAGTTCTTAATTATGATCCAAACGTTACAAATTTGAATTAATTCTTGAACTTTATGATTTGATGATAATAAATGTTCTTGATGGGAGAACATATATATATATATATATATATATGAGAATTTTGGTCACTTGGCTCAATCATCTTTTTGAAGCGAAATGCTTTTCTGAGCCGAGAAATATCAAAGTTCAAGAAGAAACTTATGTAGAAATTCTTGGTGACAATGGCCGGAGGTATGCTATTTTATTTTCGCATCAGTTTTTATTGTGTTTCTATTATAACGATTTAAAAACACAAGTTGGTTTCAGTGATTTCTTACATGTTGACATCTCAATTGCAGGGAGATCGGAAACAAAGATCTCCTTGAGGAGAAGGAAGAAGCGATTCAGAGGCACAACCAGACCCCTCTGCGCCGCCGCGAGCTAACACGGCAAAGAACGCTGAGAAAGAGAGCCTCATCGCAAGGCATGCGAAGCTTGCCACCGTCGCCGAATCCGAACTCTTCCCGAGCTTGGTCGAGCAAAGCTCGAAACAGCGGGTGCTCTAGCAAGGCAACCAGGACGACGAAGCGCCTACGCCGCTCCCCCACGTACACCACAGTGTGGCCTCTGGGGACGTCCTCGGGAACGGCTTCCTCTTCCTGGCTGCAGTACCCTGATGGAGTACTCCGCCGACGGTAGCCATGGTTGGCCTGCTTGCTCAGCTTTCTCCACCTCCTCAGAAACGCCTCGAAGAGCCCCCCTTGGAGCATCTTGAGGAGGACGGACTGTGTGTGCTTGAGAGCAGATCCAAGGTACGTACGTGCTTATATAATGCGGAGGCGAGCATGGCTTGATAGCTACATTACGTGATCATAGCAGCTGTAAAGCCTCTCCCTTTCATTTGAGAAGCAGAACGGAAGAAGGTGCAGTGTCATTGATAATATATACACACGTATGTATAGATTGTGAGCATCATGCAGATTGCAATGGGAAAGAGGAGATGGAGTCACGGATATCGTACGGGAGAAAGGATCCGTCAAAGAGCGATCCATCTGCCGCCTCAATGAGATAGAGAGAACTACAATATTTATATTGGCCAAGCGGGTGAGGATAGAATAGATAAAGGTGTCAGTTCATTGCACTTGGGATGGAATGGGGTTGCCGGCCAATAGATTTCTCATGAATCCACCACCACCACTTGCGTGTCTACTGGGTAGAGAATCGCAATGCAGATTTCGGATAACAGATACGATGCAATCTTATGAGACCAATTTGCATGTAGTATATGATCTGTTGTGACTCCATGAGATGAAGAGGTGGAAACAGTTGTGTTAGAGAAGTTTTTTGGATTGTGAATCGATGATTAATTTTGATATCAATAATTAATCGACCAATTCTAAAACCAGCAATTTCTAACCCAATGGACACCTACTGCATTGTGCTATGATCTTCAAGAAATTAATAATCAACCCCATAGAAATCTGATTGACATGATCTTCAATTTGGTGATGTGGATCGTGACACTAACAATAAGAGGCTATTGGATGGGTTAGTGTCACGATCCACAATTGTTAGTGTCATATGGCAAGAAGAAGAAATCGGAGCTCTTTGTTTTAGATGCAGAGCGTCATTTGAGCACGGCTCATATCTCATTTTTTTTGACTGTTACATATATTTGGTACCAATGATTAAGTTGTGGGCTAACTAATAAGTCAAACTACGGTTTGACCTGTTATTTGACTTAGACATATGGATTTTCTTTACTTGAACTTTAATTTTGATTTGAACCCATGTTGAAAATGTAATATAACAACAATGCAGCAGCAGTTTAATCCAGCATCTAACTTGCGATGATAGCAGAGAAAAATACCGACCAGATTTAGATACTAACCTGCTTCCATCCTTTTGCATTTCTTCGTGCTCCTCCGTTGAATCTGAATCTGTGTTGGTGTTGTATTGGATTATCCACAGCAGGCATAATTAAGCTTCAAAAACATAACAAAGATGATCAGACTAGCAATCCAATGTTATTTTAGAAAATAAAATAATTGAACTTTGATGATACTTGGGATAAGTAACACAGTAGTATCATGCATGAATGCACCATTGCAGATAGAGAAGAGAATAATATGAAGAGAAAATTCTGTACAACCTCTCTGGATTTCTGCTGGAACTGGAAAGGACTCGTTTCTTATTTCCCCTGCTTCAATTCTGACGTAACAGCAGATCTTGAGGAGCATCTACTGATAAAGAAAACAAAAAAAAAACTTGTAACTGGAAAGAGATAAGTGTACCAGATCAAGAGAATAGACAAGGAGAGCAAAAGTCAGATAGGGGGTGGAATCTGGTCTCTCAGTTTGGCTCATGGAGGCTATGACTGGTAGAATTGCCTCACCACAATGATATGGGCTCACGATGTGCAATCAGAGAAGAATCATGCTAAAACAATCATATCTTTAAAGCAAAAGCTATGATCTAATTTTCAACAGCCACAAAGATAGCATTCGACAATTTCATCACAGAATCTTGCAAAGTTTCTCCATCTAATATGATCTGATCGAGATGAGAACCAAGTAGTCATCGATGAGATGCAATGTTCTAGTGAACATTACCATCCAGAACAGTCATCCATTGCATTACTGAGATGCAATGCATTAACATTATCATCCAGAAGAGGATCCCAGTCTTCAAACATTATCATCCAGAATAAGCAGCTTATACATTAGCCTCTCAGGTGTAGACACTTATTCTAGTGAACAGTCATCCCACAACCAATCGCTGCAAAACCAATACATCTAGGCCATGGCACACAAAATAAGCAGTCTTGTTGTGGAAGAAGTTTGTGCAAGTTCAGAGCATTAGCTTGCACGGTCTCTAAGCACTTCCAACTCCATCTCAGTAGGGTCAGTAGCCTGAATCTCATAATGAATGCCATCAAGCTCACGCCTGAACCTATCCTTTGATGTGGCATAAAGCATCTTTGCACGTATGCGAGAGATGGAAGGTGACCTGATGAGCATGAAGGCATAAATGAGTGCATTAAACAAAATAAATCAACATTGTGATTTGTCACATACATATAGAATGTTTTCCTATCTTGTTTATAGTGAAATCAATATGACATATAAATAACTGCGTTGATATATGTCTTACATTAAGCATGATTGATACAATATCACAATATAAAATTTCCTTTTTAGTTTGTGTAAACTAAGTTCATCTACTTTTGTCTATATTTGTAGGTAAATCCTATACTTGTAAATTTGTTTGCTATACATAATGTGAATATTTGGCAAATAATTATATACGTCATAGCAAGTTCCTTTACTTATAATGATATATATACATATTTATATATATATATATATATGTATATATATGTATATATATACATATATATGTATATATATATATATATGTATATATATATATGTATGTATATATATACATGTACTTGTTTCTATACTCCTACATTGGGTTAATGTATATTTGTACATAAATTTATTTGGGTACCCTAACAAACTATGAGTGATCTTTCATGTTTGCCCTAGAACATGATTTTAGCCTTGACTGTCGAGTTTTGATCAAAAGTGAGCTCTTTAACAACTTATCCTCGTGTGGAAAAATTTGAGGCATTGTGTCCAGCTTAAAAGAATTATTTTTAAAAGTCTTGCCAAATCATTGAGCTAAAATATCACAATTGCTCTTATTTTTTTCATAAAATAAATTAGATGCTAAAATACTCGTTGTTATAAGGTAGGTGACAATTTCTATAAGAAAGAATGGCTATACACTGATTCCTTTCAAATATAATTGTTCATTCTGTTTGCCTCACTATGGCTGTTGTATCCAGCAATCCATATTCTCTTATTTATTTGGTTCTTTTGTTATAATCAATCTTTTGTGTCATTAATAATTGTTGGCCACATTTCCAATCACATAACATGGTGCATTTATCAATTTCACCTCATTTTTTTGGATGAAAAAAATCCAGGGAACTACAACATAATTAATGAGTGGAGAATGATAAACAATAAAACTTAAGATACTATAGGTTAAAAACTGTTTTGATCATGTGAAAAATTGGTGATAAAAGTCAAAGTTACTGAGTAGTTACTGAGTAGTATGTTTATAGTTTATATTCATAATGTACCCGAATTTTGCCCACCATGCTTGACAAATTAAAATCCATGCTTAAACAAGACAAACATCAGTGATAGAGCCTTCCTTATTTTCTTTGTTCTACTTAACCTTAGGGTAACAAAAAGGTTAATGGATTTGATTGCAAATGCTGAGAGAACCTTTAAATCATACAAGCCAGCTTCTTTACTATTCTGAATAGTTCCTTGATTGCATCATGATGAGGCAGATTCGAGACAGGAAAAGAGAGTAAAACTATTAAGGGTTTAAAACATGCTATATTGAACCAAGCATCAAATCCTGAAAACCAGAAGTATCTAGTTAATTTTTGCTTTGCATCAGTTGGTTTTTCACCATTCTGCCAATACAGTGTATAGGCAGGGTTAATATGCAAGATGCTTATTACATGCATATTATCTGATTGACTTTAATTATGTCCTACTTCATTATCAACTTACTTCACCCAAGGCAACTCGTCTAAGTTCCATCACATTCCAGATCGACAATCCATAACCAGGAACTTTGTTCCTCAGCTTCTCATTTGTATGAAATACAGTTATGAAGTATAATGGCAGCAGCTAGGATTCACACATATCTTTTCTACACCCCTTATAGAAGCCCGCTCTCCCTAAAGCGTATGAAATTCGCACCTAAATGTTGTGGAGCTGTATCCTGCAGGTTGTGTTTTGATGGATAAGGAAACTGCAGTTGTTTGTGGAAGTATTGAATTGTTCAGGAGTTGTTGAAGATTGTGATGGTCAAAAGAAGCACAAATTAAAACATTAGACATAGTTCAGGAAGAAAATTCCTATGAGGAACATACGATGCCTCTGAAGTTTATATAAGCTAAAATATCATATGCCCTATAACAATGCAGATGAAATTAAAAAAAAAAAGGAAAACCTTAGGTCAGTCTACTAAATAACTTTGAAGTTAAGCAACTTATAAGTTTTAATTAACACATGCTTCTAAAAGAAACAAACAGCTGTTTCAATTATCAAATAAAATATGTTGGAGCTACTTAGCTTCAACATATTGGGTCAGAATCATACTCCTATTAGGCACACAATCTGAGCCGAAACATGAACAATAAATTCAATCAAGAAAGCCTATAGATATATGTGCATTTTCACTACAAAGAAAAAACAAAAAGACTATCTCTATTCTTACAACCAAAATCATGGATACAGGCAAAAAAAAGAATCCTCCATCACTGAAGAGATTACAATCAGATAAGAACCCGATCAATTAGATAATTCAGTATGTCAACAAAGAAGGTACAGATAGATGGAAAGTAATGTATATTACTGAACTGTGATATGTATAGGTTAAAAGAGGCTAACCATGCAATGAAAAATATCTTGCTCTTTTGGCAGTTGTCTTCAGTCACATAATCAAAATCATAAATAGCATAACGGCAATCATTCTCGGGAAGGGCAGCAGTGAAATCGTCATAGCTCTCTCCTGGGGCTCCTGTCTTCTCAACAACTACCTCCTTTTTCTTTTCATCTATTTTGAATATGACATATCGATGCACTTTCTTTCTCTGAAGTTCCAGAAAAGTGCTTTTGCTGTGTTCATCAACTCCCATGCCCGATGATGCATTTGACTGCAGATCAGATATAAATGTAAAGAACCAAAGAAAATTTGGAGGCAGAAAAAATATAGCCATGTAAATGATGCCATCAACACCTCATGCAAAAAAATTAACAAGAAAGTGCCCCGGTAAGTCTCATGGCACCTTCACAAATGCCAGAACATAAATGCCGACTACCCAAACTGATGAGATTCTATCATGCTACGATGAAAATTGACAATCATCGACAAATTTACTAAAGATTATTACAAATGATGAAAAGAGAGAAGCAAGTTTAAAAGGATACCCTTAACTTGCTGAACAAACAACAAATAATCCTCATATACACTTTACTTGAACCAATCTAACCACAGTATTTCGGTTAAGAAGCTAAATAAAGGCAATAGTGACTACTGAGTTGGCGTTGAGGAAATTCCTACCAAGATGAATCGGCATAACCTATAAATCTACAAAGATACACAACACTGCATCAGACACGACAACTTTGCATTTTCCGAAGAAAAGCTTCCTGCTTTAGACAACAATGAGGGCGCATCAGTCAATCTCCAGCTTTAGATTAACAGTCCACGCCATCAAGCAAGGTGGGAAGAACTCATAATGGAAGTACAACAATACCCATATCAGGATCTGTGGCAACTGAGAGTACTAAAAGAAAACACAAAAAAATCCCAATTCAAACAGCTAAATATACTCTGCAGACGCATCATCAAGCCGTAAAAGAGAGTTAACCCTTGCATCTCATCGCAGAGGGTTATCGGATTGATTCCAAGCCTCAAATCCACACACAATCTCAACAATTCGAACTCAAGAAGACAAACAACAACCGACGAAGAGATCGGAATTCTTACCGTTCGGAAAGACATGGCGCCTCGATCCCGAGAGAGACGGAGGGGAGTGAGAAGGGAAACTGGAGGAATTGTGGAAGGAAATGAGGGAGGAGAGGCGATTATATTGGAAGTGGTCGAGGAAAAAGGAAAGTGAGAATTCTGTCTCACCTGCGGATCGCCGCGTCACGCACAGGGTAGACGGAGTCAAGCACGAAACGCATAACTAGCGAATCATTTTGTGCCACGTTGAAATATTAGATACTTGTCAAGGTTCCATAGGTCGTTCGGATGTACCGAGTGGCGCACCCGGTTTGATTTGGTGCGTCAAACCAGGTCGAACGGTTGCCGGTCCATGGACGGTTCCGCGACGTTCGTCCAGATGACAACACGTGTCCTGACTCTGGTGGGGTCCGCCTACACGTGAGCGTTCATATTTTTTTGAACTTTTTTGTATTAAAATAATAATAATATACAAAACACTGCGTGGAATCGACGCTGCTTTGGCACCCATCAATAATTGAGGGAGCGGTGGCAACGAAGCATGGCTCGTAGCCTCATGTTTAGTTTCATGAGTTCCGTTGCGGGATTGATGTGATAGATATCGGCATCATTCGATCAATTTTTCCTTCTCAAAACATATATATATATA